TGCCTAGGCCGTTTTCATATGCGTTTTTTCATGCGTTGGTTACATCACATTTAACTAGTTTCTTTCAGTTAAATGGTATTGGGGCCTGCAAAAGGCGAGATCTCGCAGAGTCCTATATGTACAGCCCTCAGCAGACTGCGTGGTAGGTATTCTTTTTTCGTTAATACCGATAATAACTCAAAGGTTATGCTATCAATTGGTCGGAAGTCACTGCAGATAGATGCGCCATGCTCCACTCCTTCGATTAGGTCTATCACTAAACAGAGTATGCGCCTTGTGTGGCAACAAAATGCAAAAGTTTGTTTTGGGGGCAAATATAAACTTTCGGGTTTTTTTGCCAAAATGGATGGAAAATTAGTACGATGATTATGCCAATCTAAGGTGCGGAGTCTCGCGCCGCGCGCGTCTTGCTGTTACGATTTCCGAATGACCGATTGCATGGTATTCGCCTTATTCTCGGTTTTGTCGAAAAAAGAATACCTACCACGCAGTTTGCAGAGGGCTGTACATACGTCCACCGAGCGGCTGCCGTTCCCGGACAATCACCTGCGACGCCCCTGGCCTCGACAGTGCTCACCGGGGCAGTGGGCTGATATGGCAGCAGTAGCTGTCGCCTGTCACCCCGCAGGGAGCCACGAGTCCACACACGCAGGGGCGTGCCAGTTTGGACGGCCCGCACCTTTCAAACCAAGTTTTAACCAAGTTTTCAAACCAAGTTTTAATAACTTGCAGCTGTCGGTTCATTCAGCTCCCAATTCGTTACTGCAACTTTTACAGATGTTTATGATCAGGCCCCGTTGGAGCATCGATCCCAAATTTATTATAGCCGTTTTCACGACGGAATAGCGGGTACCTAATAGATGCCTGTTTGGTCCTTTGATGCCTCAGCAATTTTAGTAGTTTCATTTGATGCCTCAGGAATTTTGGGAGTTTTTTTTGTAGTGGGTTTTCTACATTTCGAATAAGTGGCCCGTTAATTTGCTGTTTTTCTACTTAATATTACATTAATTTATTTTATCTAAGGGTTTACCGCTCACGTAGGGCGTAAGCACGTTTATGAAATAAGCATATCTATATAATGCTAGTACAATGATAAGGAAATATACTGAGCTGCCAGCTGCGGGTGACCGAGCTCTCCCAATTCCACGCTGGCTTGGCTTTGGAGCCGCAGCAGACGGCGGAAGTCAAAGTCACTGCTCAGGCAGCGGCGGATTTGTTGCGTCCGGTCACCACCGCAGCGTCGGGCCGGTGAAACAGAAGCCGGGTATCTATGTAGTTGCCAGGCTGATTTGATCCCTCATAGTCGAAAAGTGGGCTACTAGAACCGAAAATGGACTTGTTTGTAAATAAATAAGCGATTTGTTGGCCAAAATCGCCTGGATTACAATTTTTAAAAATATTTTGAAGGCAAAAGACTTAAGTTGTAAGGATTCTAAGGCCTTAAAGGGTTGGTACCTTCCAGGTATCAAATAGGTTCCACCGCGAAAGTTACGTCGTGAAAACGGCCTATGTGGGGCAAATCAACGGTGCTGATTCGAACAAGGAAGTCACCTACGACCGCATGACGTCAACATTACGGCAAGCTGAGTAAAATGTAAAACAGGACAATGCGTTTTCCTCTGTTGTGCCCTGACCCTTCGAAGCGCCGATGTCAAACTTGTTTCTCAGAGCAAATCAATGGCGCAGACTCCACTGGTGACGTCATCGACGATCTTTCTTTGTGGTATGTGCGGTTGCTTTTTTTCTTCTTCAAAGAACCTGCGATCCAGCGATGCTCAGCATTGCCTCTTTATGTACGATGATAAATAGTATCTAGGAAGGTACGGCTGTTTCTTCGTATGACGCTGTGCTTCTGTTTTTATGAGCTCCGAGCAAACAAGCTCGCAGTCGCGCCTGTAAGCATACACGCCTGTTTATTCTACGCTGTAGCATTAGCACCCGTCCCCTCATTTCCTACATACAACACGCAAACACACAAACATAAGCACTCGTTACTCAAGCTTGATCAAGCATCAAACCAACATCTGCTCATTCCGTAAGTGTGCTACTTAATCTTTTCGCGCCTTAACCCGCTTGACTGACGGGGGTTCTACAAAGCCCCTTCCCGCTCTTCTTCAGTATATTCTTAGCCGCTGGTCGAAGAAATTAACACGAAACTTGCAGTACCGTGGCCTGCAGGCTCCTTGTATTGGTATTTTTGCCAGCCGCGAGTGTATAGTAGGAGGGGGTCCGTTGGACGGGGACCCCTTTTGCCGTTTGACTCCTGGTCGAGCTAGAACTTCGCGGAAAAAACGATAATCCTGCCCGTGACGAGAGGAAGACGATGATACCCAATTTTAACCCTCGCCGGCGCAGGCCGTTTTGCGTCCTTCAACGGCACAAGGGGAGGTTGGTACGACCCCCTCGTGTTTGGCCCCTGATCGAGCTAGAGCTTTCGCAGAAACAACGATGGTGTTGCCCGTCACGAGAGGAAGCCGATAATACCCAATTTTAAGGTCCTAGGTCATTAGCTAGCCTTCCAGGTCAGATCAATGACCCAAAAGTCGGGAAAATCGAGATCTGTTAACTCGTCGTAAAATGTGGCTGCTAAGGGGTTTTCGGGGTGCTGATCACGATTATCATGTAACGTTTGATCACAGATGATGTCTTCGTGACTTTGAGAAATAGGTCACAGGTCAAATGTCACTTAGGTCAGGGTCATCAAATTTTCAGAGTAGGTGTAAATTTGATCAACTCGAGCGTACTGAAAGTTTCGTTGCGATAGGCCGTTTTTTGCGCGTGTTATTTGCGAAAAGCATGGGGGGTCCATCCGATCCCCCCCCCATACATGCAATGGTTAATAGAAGACACTCTGTAGAACCTCTATGAAGCAAAGCCTGCTTACCTACTCCCTGCTGTATGGTGCGTCCTGAGAGTGCTGGCTGTCCAGTGTCCCGTCCCTGACAGTGGTGGTCGCCCAATTTCTCCCGGCCTGACAGTGCTGGCGGCCGACCGGACTGCAGTCCTACAAGCGTCGCCGGCCGGCCGGCCCTCTCATCAGTATGCGTATCGACATGGGCCGGACGGCGTGGCGCTCGGTCGCAAATAGAATAATGGACCACCGGCCGAGTGGCCCGCTGCGCCCCGCTCGCACACTGCCAGCGGTGCAGCCGGGTCGGTGAGAGGCCTGTCCCCGCCCATGGAAATGGACCCAGGAAATGGACCCAAGTGACCTTTGACCTGTGACCTAATTCTTGAGGCCATGTTTGACCGGAATCGCGATTCGGCGTATATCGGCTCGCATTAGCCGCACGTTTGCAAGCTTTTCGTGGTTTCAAACGTTCAAACATGTGAGTTGATGTTGCTCCCATGCATTAGGGTGGATGTCGAGGTCAACTGAAGGTCAGGTCAGGTCATTGATCTTTGGTGACCTCAGTTCACTTTTTCGAGTTTTACATGTTTGTAGGCTAGTTTTTAGAGCTTAATTCGAATTTAGCAACCATTTGAACATTTAACAATTAGTTGTGGTCAGCGGTGTACTTAGAAAATCGCGAAGGGGGGGGGGGCAAGGGTTTGGAGGGCGCCACCTCACCCAGGGAGGGCGCCATACGGTCGCGAGATTAAAATCCTTAACGATTGCTCAGCGGACGGGAGGAGGCTTTTGGGAGGCTGTTTTTTTACTACGCCACCAGTTTTTTGCGTACCTTGGTATTGGTTATGCTGCATTCATCATTGATTTCGCATCCGTCATTAGGGTCATATTAGTTTTTCGTCAATAACTCCCAATCAATTTGAGCTAGCGAGTTGGGGAAGTCACCAATGGGCTCAGGAAGACCTGCCAAATCAAATGATATGCGACATGACTTATTTAAAGCATTTTTGTGACCTGGGGGCGCTGACCTGACCGTGACCTGAGGTCAACACCCTAAGTTGACCTCATCCAAACAAAAAGTATATCATTCGACGCGCCTGAGCAAGGCGAACACGATGCTGCCAAAATCGCGGCTCTGCAGCCGTTTGTTACGAAGTTATTCGCCAAATACGGTACCGTACCTTAGGGCACTTGACCTGACCTCAGACTTCAGAGGTCACCGGTTGACCTACGACCTTAAAATCGGGTATCAATCTCTGCGTCTCGTAACGGTGCACACGCTCGTTTTTTCTGCGACGCGCTAGCTCCACCAGGGTTTGAAACGGTGAGGGGATGGGGGGTCGTGCCCCCCCCCCCCTCGGCCGGCGCGTATGTAGAAAACCAATAGGTCCGGCGAGGGTTAAACGCCTTTCGGGGCGACAAACGAAGCGAGCGAGAGGGTGAGCCCTGCTCATGCGGAATTGCGAGGGGGTACCTCCAAGCGACTTATGCTCGGCACTCTACTAACCGGTCTCTAGCGATGTGCCAAATTTGAGAGCAATTGGCGCAATCGTTCTTGAGACCTGGAAATGACCCCTGCACGTGCGCACGTGCAGCAGCACCCCAACCGTGACACATGGGAATGCATTGCCTGTAAGGTACCTACCTGTAAATCCAGTGAGCTAAATGCCAGTTAACGGTAACGTAGCATCATTGCTCTTGCGCGCCCGTAAGCCTATGACGGGGCCGCACTGTACGGGCCGGTGTTCGGTGACCTTGACCTGACCGCGCCGGAGGGGCCGTAGCGCGGCCGGTGGACGGGCGAGCGCGAGGGGAGCGAGCCTCAGTGCGGGCTGGCGGCTCCGGGCGGCGCGGCGGCTCCGCCGAAGCGGGGTTCCGCCACCCACCCCATCCGACCAGCTTGCCCCTTTTCTATTCGTTTATCCCTTCCAAGTTCCACCATCTCCCTCGTCGCTCGTTTCTTTCTCTCCTTGTATCGCCAGTAAGGTAAATGGGATACACTGGAGAGCGAGAGAGACGGGCGGCCGATAAACAGCCAACACTGATGAACGGAGCACACGATGCCGACAGCGTTACGGTGTTAACTAAAGATAACGCCAGTTATCTGACCTGTATAAGAGCTCTCCATGATCCCAGCGGACTAACTGACCTGTAGAAGAGCTCTCCGTGATCCCAGCGGACCTCGCCGTGTCCCTCGCAGGAGAGCTGAGGACTCAGCTTGCTGTGGTTGTACGCCTTGAAGAACAGCTCTGCGCCACGAATAAACACCTCCAGGGCGCGTCCGATCTGCTTCATCACCTCCATGCTGCTCGTCTCGAAATGCAGTCCTGCAGCGGTCAGCCCGTGTCAGAGACTGCCCCAACCGACCACCTACTACCCCTCATCTTTTAGTTACCTACACTACTGTCTTAAATGTCCATTGATGTCTCACAGCTGGGAATATACAGAAAAACCTAACCACTTATTTATCATTTGGCGTAGTTCTGCTCATTTTGACTATTCAAATGTTATGATGTTATTGGGTCGTCTTATATGGGTCTTACCAATAATTCAGCTAAATTATCGTACGACATATGCGCCACCTATCGACATGAGAAACAGTCATCGCACCAGCAGTATATCAGCGATATACAGCTGTACGATACGATAGCGATATACAAATGATATACGGCAGTAGGTATATCATTTTAATCCTCATCAGGCCAGGGTCTTTTTCATGACGCGGACGGCCGGAGGGGAGGGGTGGTAAGCCCCCCTGGAGATCTAAGTGCCATAGGAGCTCCTATGGCACTTATAAACATCAAATTTACAGGGTGGATGGGTCCATAGGAGATCTCGCATCTGTGCAAATTAAGTTGCTCTAGGTCAATATTTGGAGGGGGTTTGGGGGTAGAAATGTAGGTAAACATTTCTCTAAACCAGGTCAAAAGTTTTTGTTCAGCAAAAAGAAAAGCACCAGTGAACTTAGCACGTTCGTGTGCATCGAAGAGTATAATTGGTCACCATTTGTGAACTTAGAATTTTCCGAATTTTTAAGTGAACTTAACCCTCGCCCTGGCAGGGGGTCGATGCGACCCCACACCCCTAAGGTTTTTCAAAGATGGCGTAAATTTCCACAGCCTATGGGGCAGCCTTTTTACAGATAACCTAAAAATTTCAGGTCCAGGTGACCTTGCGTCAGGTCACCAGGTCAGAAGAACCGGTACAAGTTAATGGTAAAATTTCTAACTTTATGCACCTGTCCAACTCACAGTTTTGGACTGATTTCTTACAAACCCAGTGTCCCCTACCTTCGGCTGCATTAACCCGCGCACCAGGTTAATGCAGGTTTTTCGTGAATAGCGAAAAAACATTTGGCTAGACTATTCTCTCATCAATTTTACACATGGTGAGTCAGTTTGAACCTCCTAACTTTTAAGGTCAGGTCACCAGGTCACTTTGAATGACCCAACCTCAAGTCCCTTTTTTGCAACTTTGCCACAGTGTCAGAGCTACAGTAGATGACGTAGGCCTTTGAAAGTCGCAGGATGTTATTAGGTCATTGGCGGCTACAATTTGTTTATCTAGGAATTTTGATATCGATGACCTAAGGTCAGGTCAATTTCTCGACCTCCCCGTTATAAGTCAATGGGGGAAAATCAACTCCCTGTTTTTCCACTAAAACGCGTCGGAATGGCCCCATATATCATACATGACTTCATATACCATCAACCTTCACTACCTTGAGGCCTGTTTTGCTGTTGGCCAGCTGTAAGCTCAGGTGACGTCATCAAAGGTCACCAACTGTTTTTGCCAATAATTCCTTACAGGAACGAGATACAGCCGCGCGGATGGCCTCAATGTGTTCAGCTCGTCTGGGCGCATCGAATGATATACATGATGACCTCGAGGTCACGTGACCTGAGGTCTACCATTGACCTTGCCCTTTCGAGGTCAACATATATATGATTCGATGCGGATTGACGAGAGGATCACGATGGTGCCCTTAGTTTGTTACTAGCTTGACTAATTCGAACGTTATTCGAGAAAAGCTCTCCATATCTTGCGCCGCCATTTTGACTTTTTTGACCCCTGTGACGTCACCTTTGACCTGACCTGAAAATGACCTTTGTAAAAAATTGTAGACCTTGTCCATGCGTACCCCATGCCGTTTACCGCTTGTCGCTATCTTGCTTCCTTCTCGAGATCTCAGGGGGGGGCGGCGGTCATCCGCCCCTCCCGTCGGTTCTAAGTTGGCGCAGAACCCCCGTCGGTGCGCGGGTTAATTTGACACCTTGTGTTTTAAGGAAAATTGCACAGCTACCATAGGGCAGCTGAAATTGACGTCAGAGTGACGTCATGCCGGCCGATCTTGATAAAAACATTGAATTAAAACAATCACTCTAAAGAGTTCTTTTTCAAGATAGATCCAATTTATTTGCTTGAGAGGACTCAGAATACACAGGTCTATCAAACTGTTCTCGGATTTCAAAGTTACAAATATTTTGGTAATTTTGCAAACAAAATCTAAACAAAATGATTTTTTTAACTTTTCGATAAAAATGTATAATATGTAATAGAGCACATACCGATCGTTTAATCTTGGAAGTTTTAGCCCGATATCTTCAAAAATAGCTCATTTATACGTTTCGTAGTCAATATTTCACCATTTTCACAGAGTTCCACGACAAATCGACAAATAAAAAAATTAAATTTGCACCCTCATATTTTATTCTTCGTTGAAAACTGGTGTAAGGGGTTGTGATGGGCGGGGAAGCCAGCTGTGGCAAGGATTTTTTTCTTCGGACAACGGCTTCCGAGATATAGCCTCGGGCAATTCCTGGAGTTCGCGCTGCAGCCCTATGTTTGGCGGCCTATAACTCAGAAACTATTGTTTTTTTACGATTAAAACTTGATATGGTTCAGCACACAATCAACCAACAAACATTTTGGCTATCTTTCTAGTTGAGGTTTATTTGCCATTGGGTCTACAGTGCATGGATATAGAGGATTCTTCATGGCTCCGAGTGGAAGATAAGGATATCTTTTCCAAGCGGGTTACTGAAAAACCGAGCGACGAAGGAGCGAGGTTTTTCTGTAACACGCGAGGAAAAGATATCCGATCTTCCACGAGTGAGCCATGAGGAATCCTATATCTTTCTATGTTGAGGTTTATTCTTAATTAATTAAATATTATATTTAAATGTATTCACCTATGTAAATTTTTTTTTTTTTAGAGTAGTTTGTTTTTATTTCATAAGTTTCATACTAGCCATTAAAAATGCCGTTCGGTTATTGACCCATCTTCAGTTGAACTCTTGATTTTTGGCTATGAACCCTCGAGACCTTATCTTTGCATCTCAGAGAGATGCAGAGATAACAAATTCTTATCTTTGCATCTCGGAGGAGTGCGAGATAGAAATATCTCCGATTTTCAATTTTTTGAAAATTTTGATCACGTGACCTTTTGTCCTATTTTTCGAAGAGTTACCTTGATATTTTCCCCACTGAAAGTTGCAATTTTGTCTGATGACGATTAAAGCCTTATCAAGTGTCAGTCATATGCGATAATAAAAAAGTGGTTATCGCCCTGCGTTGACCTCAGGTCAGGTCATTTTTATGACCTGTCCATTATTACGAGCGGGAGCGACAGCGAGATCTCGAGAATAAAGCAAGATAGCGACAAGCGGTAAACGGTAAAGGGTACACACGGATAAGGTCTATAATTTTTACTGAGGTTATTTTCAGGTCAGGTCAAAGATGACGTCACAGGAGCTAAAAGGAAGTCAAAATAGCGGCACTATACATATATATGAAGTTTTTCTCGAATAACTTTCAAGGTATCCCAACTAGGAACAAACTAATAGCACCATCGTGATCCTCTCGTCGATCCGCATCGAAGCATATGTATTTTGACCTCGAAAGGTCGAAAGGTCAAAAGTTGACCCTAGGTCACGTGATCTAAGGTCAACTTTTGACCTTTCGATCTTTCGAGGTCAGCATACATATGTTTCGATGCGGATCGACGAGAGGATGACGATGGTGCTATTAGTTTGTTCCTAGGTGGGATACCTTGAAAGTTATTCGAGAAAAACTTCATACATATGTATAGTGCCGCTATTTTGACTTCCTTTTAGCTCCTGTGACGTCATCTTTGACCTGACCTGAAAATGACCTCAGTTAAAATTATAGACCTTATCCGTGTGTACCCTTTACCGTTTACCGCTTGTCGCTATCTTGCTTTATTCTCGAGATCTCGCTGTCGCTCCCGCTCGTAATAATGGACAGGTCATAAAAATGACCTGACCTGAGGTCAACGCAGGGCGATAACCACTTTTTTATTATCGCATATGAATGACAATTGATAAAACTTTAATCGTCATCAGACAAAATTGCAACTTTCAGTGGGGAAAATATCAAGGTCACTCTTCGAAAAATAGGACAAAAGGTCACGTGATCAAAATTCTCAAAAATTGAAAATTCGAGATAGCCAAAATGTTTGAAGGTTGATTGTGAGTTGAACCATATCAAGTTTTTATCGTAAAAAACCAATAGTTTCTGAGTTATAGGCCGCCAAACATAGGGCTACAGCGCGAACTCTAGGAATTGCCCGAGGCTATATCTCGGAAACCGTTGTTCGAAGAAAAAAATCCTTGCTACAACTGGCTTCCCTGCCCATCACAACCCACTAGACCAATCTTAAGCAAAAAATAAAATATGAGGGTGCAGGGCACTTGTCGATTTGTCGTGGAACGCCCCAGACACCTTTTCTGTTGAAAAATTTAAACTTCAAACTTCAACCTTTTAACTTGAATGAAAGCGACCTGGTCCCAGCTATATTTAGCTCAAATTAGCCTCAAATCACATAGGAGACATTTTTCGAAATCTATGGCTGAAATGGACCATAAAACATTTGTCACTTGACCAATACATGACATAAAATCTCCGTGACATTGGATGACCGGGCCTTGACCTGAAAAATTCGAAAAACAAGTTCGGTATCCTCAGGGCATCTAAGGCGCATATCAAGTAGTGCGTAAACCAAAAAAGAGCTTGGTCGGACTTATTGACCGGAGGTCAGAGCCTAAAATGTTAAAAAGCCAAAATGCTGATAATTTTTACCTTGAACTAAGTTGTGACGTCATTGGTCACCTCGAGGTCAATGAAATTGCCGCCGACAGTTGTCCGTACTACGGCAGCCGTTTTTTTTTTCTTAAAATAGTTGCGTGGGAGAGTGGGCAAAAATTATGTTGCTGTTCAGAGAATTATGGAAATTTTGGTAATTTACAAAATGCCTTTCTAACTCATATTCTACGCACGACGCTGTGAAAAGGTCAATTTGAGCGATATCCATCGACTGTTCGTCTCAGATATCATTGTAAATGATTTTGGATATTTCACACATTTGGAAGCTGCGCCTTTTACAGTTCTTTTCGTCCTCGGGTTGTCGGCGGCCATGGCTTTGTGCCGTGGCAGTGCCGTGGCAGGAACACACGCACGGAAATGATGCACGCCCGTGTGACGTCCAGCGACGTCACGCGTCACGCCAGGCGGGAGAGCGGCCAATGAGACGGACTGGGGCAGACGGCTGCACGTCTGCGGAAACACCGACCACGGAACGACGCTGGCTAATGAAATCAGGTAACGTTAGATGAACTGCCTAGCGGTGTTACCTACCAGGCGTCGAACTGGATATGTCCAAATCATCGAATTTTACACTTCAGGGGTCGATCAGGGGCCAAACGCGAGGGGGAGGGTTCGCTCCAACTCCTCCCCCCTTTTGCCGTCGAAGGACGCAAAATGGCCTGTGCCGGCGAGTAAGGTGGGATGGTCACTTTTAGTAACGCATGACTTGACAGTTGATGCATCTGCATCCTTTTCTTTCGGATCGTGTCAAGATCTTGGCATGAAATCCTCCTTGACGAATTGCCCTTAAAAATAGCGTTACGTCTTTTGGCGAAAATACTATAGGCATTTGCTTTCTTGGCTTTTCATCTTATATAATAATATCGGCACCCTGGGATGTGCCGATAGACTCACCGAGCATGCCGATCGGGAAGTCTGCCGCCACGGTCTCCAGATCGCTCCCAATGACGCTCTGTGTTACGATCCACACGTAATTCTTGCCCGTGATGTGGAGAGAGTGGGCCTTGTGCATGATTTCCCGTGCTTCGTCCCTGTAACAGCAAAAGGACAAGTCAACTCTACATAATTAGGCAGAAATGGCTAAGGTCAAAGAAGGGCTAAACATCAATATGCGTAAGTATGAACAATTCAATTTCACGTATTTGCCGAGTCTTATCAACCTTTAAGTAATTAAATCAAATGACAATTAATATAATGAGTATCCACATGATATTAACTAAAAACGTTAGAGATATGCTCCTTTTGCTTTGTTGTTCAGCTCACTTTGTGCAGTAGAGCAGCATGATTCTCGCCTCAGAGTTGGCCAGCTCCTCTAAGTCCTTCGATTCGCGAACAATAATGGTGTTGAGTATGGAAAATCTGCAAACATCATACAGAACAAGCATGAAAAGGGAAACACGCTGTACATATTTCTATAATAATTAAGCGGACTTCAACCACATCAACTGAAAAAAACAGTAATACCTACGTCTTTTGGGCGAAGAACGAGCGAGCGAGAGTGAGCCTTGCACGTGCGGAAGGGTGAGAGGGTAGGTACTTCCAACTGGCTTGTGCACGGCACCGTACTAACCGGGCCTAGCCGTATACCTAGGCAATTGGTCCAGCCATTCCTGAGATCTGGAAACGGCACCCTGCACATGTGCAAGCGCAAACTGGGTCTAGATCGACTTTTGCACGGCAGTGGCGGCGGAACACCTTCAGTTAAGGGGCACTGCCGACTTTTGGTCCCATTCTTCCATGCAACGCCCATAGGGCTAATGTTGAAATACCAAAATCAAAGGGGGGTACGGTGCCCCGGTGCCCTCCCCGTTCCTCCGCCAATGGCTGGTCTGACGCAACAGGTGGTCTACAAAGCGCTCCACCCGGCGACCCGAGCCGATGTCAAACGGCGTGGGTAGACTGTGTCGCATAGCTTTCGGGTCATGCGGCACAGCCTACCGGTACCAGGCGGCTGGTTTTGCTGAGTCATAGGAACCCGGTGGATAAAGAGTAGTGGACTATCAACCTGTACCCGACTGTACCACGTGAAAAGTCAAAGGTGTTCATGCTGTTTTGCAAAAGTACTGCCTTCGAGAGATCCATATCTCAGCAACTGCGATTGTCTTGCAGTAATTTTCTAGGGTAGCTGCATCCCTTCTACCAAACGTCAGACAGTGCATTCCCATGTGTAACGGTTAGGGTGCTTCTACACGTGCGCACGTGCAGGCATAGGTGGTGGAACGAGGGGGGCACCGTTCCCCCTTGATTTTGGCATTTTAACATTAGCCCTACGGGCGACGGGCGTTTCGTGGAAAGAATGGGACCAAAAAGTCGGCAGTGCCCCCACCCCCTCCTTAATTGAGGGTGTTCCACCGGCACTGCTTGCAGGGGATGCTTCCAGATCTCGAGAACGGCTGTGCCTATTGCGCTCAAATTTGGTGCGCTTTTGGTGACAGATTATTAGAGTGCAGTGCAAAAGTCAGATGGAAACCAGTTTGCACGTGCACACGCTTCCATTGACGCTTGATGCTTCCAGATCTAAAGAAAGTTTCCCAGATCTAAAGGTGACGCTTCCCGATCTTAAGAACGGCTGGGCCGATTGCGCATTGAAAAGACTCGTTTCGCAATTCGCGCTCGCTTGTAATAAAACGTAACAGTTCAGCCACGTTTAAGTCCCAGCAGCTTACTTGAATTCCTCTTGGAGCTCCAGCGCCGTGTCTCGAACGGCGCGAGTGAACTCGTCGTAGCCGGCAATTTGCGATGTGACGATTGCGAACCCGTGCCAGTTGTAGCGCTGCAGGATGGAGAGCATGGCCGCGGCCTGGTGGTGGATCGACGGCGCCAGCTCCAGCCGCAGGCTCGACTGTTTCGTGCCCTGCCGCCGCGCCACAGCACCGGTTAGCTCAGTTGACAAAGAGCCGAACTTGTGACTTAATGTCACTGGTGAATATATTCATTTAGAAATCCGCATAACACAGCAAACACGGTCCCTCACCGGCCGCCGCTCTCACCGCCCCACCTGTTCCTGGTCCGCTCTCACCGCCCCACCTGGTCCTGGTCCGCTCTCACCGCCCCACCTGTTCCTGGTCCGCTCTCACCGCCCCACCTGGTCCTGGTCCGCTCTCACTGCCCCACCTGGTCCTGGTCCGCTCTCACCGCCCACCTGTTCCTTGTCCGCTCTCACCTGTTCCTGGTCCGCTCTCGCCGCCCCACATGTTCCTGGTCCGCTCTCGCCGCCCTCACCTGTTCCTGGTCGAGGCCCGAGTTGTCTGCGTTCCAGGCAATGACGGGAATGCCCAGATAACGGGCCAGCTGCAGAAAGTACTGGCTGGAGGCGGTGTTCCGGCCGTAGTGCTCCTTGTTGTTGATGTAAATAATGGCAGCCACGTTCGCTGGCAAAAACTGATTACACAAAGCATTCAGGATCGCTGTAGAACATAATGGCACATGTTAGGATATGGAAATGCATTGACCGGTAGATGCCTACCGACATGCAGTTTATGAGCCAAAGCAGACCAATGGTTTTCAAGTTATTGTAATGGAACAAGTGTATTATTGTATCATCATTTTGAACGTGGTACGCACACGTAGGGGAGAGCGGGGTGAGTTGTATTACGGGCAAATAGTATCAGAGCGAATTTCGCCAAAACTATCGCGCGCTGAGCCACACACACATGGAGATGTCATACCGACATCTCCATTACATCTTGGCACGCTCGTAACATGCAATAAAAGGTGTTAAAGCCGTTCGAAGCACAAACCTGTGGGGCTGAGAGTCTTGAACATCTGTCTGTGCACAAATCGCGTGCTCCGAAGTATATTGGAGCCCCTGGACTGCAGTGTCAAGGAGACGCGAGCCTGGTAGCCGCGGTTATGGAAAGTGGAATACGGAGGCACCAGTCCCACGGACACATTCCTCTCAATATCAGCCGTCTCCACGCGCTCGATGACGCCCACTTGAGAGAGCATCAGCAGCGCCAGTGCCGACACCAGAGGCGGAAACTGCATGACGGCGCCGGCTCGTCCGCCGCTTGTCTGTCAACAAACAGCACCTTTGGTAACGGGAACCGGCAGCGACTTCTTCTGTCACTGCCATGATCCTCTCTGAATCATGCATCCAAGATCATGATCAAGAATCATGCATCCAAAGAGACATAGGTGTAACCCATGTCCTTTTAACTCTCACCCGTCTTGCTTTTTACCAGCCCCTTAGCCCGCGCCCCGTAGGGCTATCGGCGGACCCTACCACCCGTAGGGGGGGGGGGGCGTTTCGGCCTCCCCTAAGATCTCGGAAATTTACCGGCCGATTTTCAAAACTCAAACGGCGTTCGATAGCCCAGCCCGGGAACTACCTTGTGACCAAATTTCATTGGGCCGGGGGTGTTTGAACACACCCCCATGCGGTTTTTAGCACACCTGTTGCTGCTTATTTTCTGCAAATGTGAAAATTTCAGAGCCCGGTCGCTCAAGGTCAGGTCACCAGGTCACGCCAAGTGACCTCACATCAGAAGAAATTGGAATGTTCGTCATAGCTACATCGACTGACCGATGGCCTTGATACTTTTAACGATGGATAAAAGTAACATTATCTATAAAATGTGTAGCTTGGAATTTTGATATCGGTGAACTAAGGTCAGGCCAATTTTCCGGCCTCTCCATTGTAGTCGATGGGAGAAAACTGAAATGCACCTCTTGTGGCCGAATGGTGTTCAAAACCCTCTCAAACAGCGGTTCATGGGCAAACATGACACACTGAATCAGAAAAATGCACCTTTGGCCCCTCTATGTGCCCCTGAAGTCATCTCAGGTAATGAACGGTCACTAGCATTTTTTTGCCATAACTTTTGATAGACGTGCTGGAGCGATGAAAATTCGTAAGATGTTTTCAGCTCGACGATACGGGTCGACTGAAATGCAACATAACCCTTTCAGGTCAGGTACCTATACCTTATACCTAATACCTTGACCTGAGGTCAAATTTTCAAAATGACCATTCAAGGTCAACGAATAGTTCTTTCGACGCGTCTCGACGAGAGGAACCCGATGCTGGCAAAAGTAAAGTCGTGGCTTGCTTGAATCAAAAGTTATTACCGAAAAATTGCTTTTGGTGAAAACGTTTTTTTTTACAGTTTTTGCTCTCTAAAGGCAAAACCGTTGACCTGAGGTCAAATTATTTAGAACAATACCCAGTAAGGTCTGTCAAAGGGCTATCGAATGCGCTCTTCCGCGGCGCTGTAGCTCTATTGGTTCCCGAGTTAGCCGTTGGCAGTTTCCAAAATTGTTGAAATGGCCTACATTTGACCTTTGATGACCTCTGGGGATCTGACCTTTGACCTGACCCAAAAAATGACCGAAGTGTTTCTGTCATTATTTTGACGTTATTTCGAATGCCTTTTACCGCGTGTCACTACGTGACCACGGACCTGCAACCTGATGCTTGAGTGTTTCGTTCGTCCAAAAAAGGCGCCTTTCAACTTTCATTGACTTATGTAATCGAAAGTAAAGGGAGTTACTTTGAGTGAAGCCTATTATAGACACACCGGCACACGTCGTTTCCTGCAGACGGTTCCCGTCCAGTCCGTCTGCGATCGTCCTTCTCAGAGTCCGAGTCCGTCACGGTCACTCCGGCCGCACCCCGCACACTTCGCCAGCACACTGGCGCGCGATGTGCGAGTCGACTCACGACCGACCCAGTCCAGTCACGCCCCAGCCCCGGGCGACGCACGGGCGAGTCCAGGTGGTCTCGGGGCTGGGCACAGGCGCCCCCAGGCAGCCTACCGGGGCGTTGCGCCGCGGTACAGGCGCACTGAACCTAACCTAACACCACAACTTATAATGGACAGGTCATAAAATTGACCTGACCTTATGCCGCAGATTAAAACACCCAAACTTATAATGGAGAGGTCGCAAAACTGACCTGATCTTTTATCACAGAAAACAAAATTCCGAAATTAGAATTAGGTATTATTCAAACGGTTAATTCAAACGGTTCATTCAAATTACTTAATTGAAACGGAGTCGTCTGTAACTCGTACCAATCGCTTGTAAGTTTCAAGGTGACCGTTCAGTCGGTGTATTTATGACGAGTGTTCCAACTTTATCTGAGTTGAGGCTACTTGACGTGACCTTTTGACCTGCCCTTAAGAGACCTGGGCCTGAAATTTTCACATGTGCGGAAATAATGCATGAACAAGTGAGCAGAAAACCGCGGCGCTCTGCGACGCAATTTTTTCTAGATATCTATGAAAAACAGCAAATGGGATGTTGAAAGACTACCACTGGCCCAGCTCGGGTTTAGGAAATCGGCCCGCTGAGGTCAGAAAACACACATACCTGTCCTAATGACGGCCCTCAGAGCGCTTTGGTGCCATCAGGTGCCGGTCAGCCGTCAACGTCTGGCTGCAGTCCGCTGGACAGGGCCGAGCCTGGGTCACTGAGCCCTGCTGCCGGACCGACCCCGGGTCACGGGGCCCTGTTGCCGGTCGGCGCGGCAGACGGCCGCCGACTGCCACCGAGTGCCACCGGCGCCGGCGGCCGACTGCGGCTGCGTCAGGCCAGCCAATCCACCCCCGTAACCAGCCATTGGACAGGGCTCTCGGCTTGAGAGCAACAGTTCCGTGGATGTACAAACGATGGGTAGTCACCAAACGATGACTGTCCAGTGTCCATCGTGAACTGCAACCGCTGAAAACGCCATTTTTCATATTGTTTTAATAAAAAATGCTCACTAATGATCTTACTAAAGCTTAACAAAAAGACGTATATTGAGGCACAGAGCAGCATGCTTTAACCCTCGCCCATGTAGGGGGGGGGGTTGGTGCAACCCCCCCCCCCCCTGAGGTTTTTCTTAGCTACACGCCGAACCGTTTCAGATAGCCTGCTCAAATTTTCAGTACCCTATGGGGTATCCTTTGCGCAACTTTTGGTATTTTTTGTCAAGGTCATGTTAGGTCACGGAGTTATGACGTCATAAAGGGAACAAACTCCGGCCAGATTTACGCTAAATTGGAGATTGCTTCACATTGGTATGAATGCCGACTGACCTGACACACTGATGGATTATTTTAGAATCACAACTGGCTAATTTGACATTGGCACAATGTCCGTTGACATTTTGAAGGTTACTTAAGGTCAAGGTAAGGTCAGTGACCTCGGTTGACCTGTAATGACTTCTTGCACTTGTATGCCTTTTCGGTGTATTTTGATGCCCTGTATTCGAATTTGCTATCCATTTCAGGCATCGTCGGTTGTTTCTTGTTCATTTTGGGTCAGGGTCAGGTCAGTGACGTCACACGCCTGACGTGACCTAATGCACAAATGACCTTGCAGACTTCCGATGCTCCCAACGCATCATTTTTAGAGTTATGACATCGAAATACACACCAAACGATAGAGAATTGATCAAGGATCACGATAGTGAAGGTTTTAAGTCGATATCTCTTACTGTTTTGCCGCAATCGGCGCGGAAATCTGAAAAAGTTAGATTTTTTCCAAAAATTTGACCTTTCACCGGTCATAAGTAGGTCAAATGTTGACCTAGGAACAAAAAATATACCACCAATCGCAAGATCTCGTTGAGAGCAATCCGTTGGTCTTTTCCGCTAAGCTCTACAACGCTCTGTTTTCAAACGCCAGGGGGGTCGTACCCAACCCTCCCCCTGCATGGGCGAAGGAGGCAAAACTCCGTTTACGGGCGAGGGATATATCATTCGATGCGGATTGACGAGGAACACGATGATGCCCTTAGTTTGTTCCTACACTGAGAAAACAGTTCCTCCACTTTCGGTCTCAGAGACCAGTTTTCGGGGTAATGTCCCCTATTCAAAACAGACCACACATTTTGAGAATACTTTCTGAGCAACGCCATCGATCGCAGAAACAGATCTCAGCCAGTACCCGTTATCGGTGTTCAATCTTTAACCCGCGCACCGACGGGGGTCTGCGCCAACTTCGCACCGACGGGGGGGGCGGATGACCGCCTGAGATCTCGAGAACGAAGCAAAATAGCGACAAGCAGTAAACGGCATCGGATACGCACGGTCAAGATCTACAATTTTTACAAAGGTCATTTTCAGGTCAGGTCAAAGATGACGTCACAGGGGTCAAAAAAGTCAAAATGGCGGCGCTAGATATGGAGAGAGTTTTTCTTGAAAAACTTTCGAATTAGTCAAGATAGGAACAAACTAAGGGCATCATCGTGATCCTCTTGTCAATCCGCATCGAATGATATATATGTTGACCTCGAAAGGTCAAGGTCAAAGGTTGACCTCAGGTCACGTGACCTCGAGGTCATCATGTATATCATTCGATGCGTCTTGACGAGCTGAACACAATGAGACCATCCACGCGTCTGTATCTTGTTCCTGTATGGAGTTATTGGCCGAAAACCTTTGGTGACCTTTGATGACGTCACATGACCTCACAGCTGCCCAACAGCAAAACAGACCTCAAGGTAATGAAGGTTGATCGTATATGAAGTCATGTATGGTATATGGGGCCATTCCGACCCGTTTTAGTGGTAAAAACAGGGAGTTGATTTTTCCCCCATTGACTTATAATGGGAAGGTCGCGAAATTGACCTGACCTTAGGTCACCGATATCAAAATTCCGAGATATACAAATTGTAGCTACTAATGACCTAATAACATCCTGCGACTTTCAAAGGCCTCCGACATCTACTGTAGCTCTGGCACGGTGACAAAGTTGCAAAAAAGTGACTTGAGGTTGGGTCATTCAAAGTGACCTGGTGACCTGACCTTGAAGGTAGGAGGTTCAAACTTGCACACCATGTGTAAAATTGATGAGGGAATAGTCATACCAAATTACGCGGCGCTACGCGCCGCGGTTTTCCCGCTATTCGCGAAAAACCTCAGGGGGGCGGATATCCGCCCCCCTGAGGTTTTTCGCGGATAGCGTGAAAAACGCGGCGCATGGCGCCGCGAAATTTGGTAAGGCTATTCTTTTATCAGTTTTACACATGGTGTGCAAGTTTGAACCTCCTAACTTTTAAGGTCAGGTCACCAGGTCACTTTAAATGATCGCCCAACCTCAAGTCAATTTTTCGCAACTTTGTCACCGTGCCAGAGCTACAGTAGATGTCGGAGGCCTTTGAAAGTCGCAGGATGTTATTAAGTCATAAGTAGCTACAATTTGTTCATCTTGGAATTTTGATGTCGGTGACCTAAGGTCAGGTCAATTTGGCAACCTCCCCATTATAAGTCAATGGGGGAAAAATCAACTCCCTGTTTTTACCACTAAAACGGGTCGGAATGGCCCCATATACCATACATGACTTCATATACGATCAACCTTCACTACATTGAGGTCTGTTTTGCTGTTGGGCAGGTAAAGGTCATGTGACGTCATCAAAGATCACCAAAGGCTTTTTGCCAATAACTCCGTACAAGAACAAGATACAGCCGCGCAGATGGTCTCATTGTGTTCAGCTCGTCAATACGCATCGAATGATATAAATGGTGACCTCGAAGTCACGTGACCTGAGGTCAACCTTTGACCTTGACCTTTCGAGGTCAACATATATAAAATTAGTCTCACTATGAAACCAGTTTTCCGCCCGACCCCCGGAGGAAATGTAAGTAAATCCCTAACCCGGCGGCCGCTGGGCCTCCGCGCCACCCGCCGCCCGCTGGGGGGGGGGCATATAGTTGCCCCCCATTTACTTCTGCGACGATATCGTCGCAACGCGAAGAGATAGAGAAGCGAAACTTTGCACACATCTTCCTGAATACCTAGCCGAGGTTGTGTCCAAATTTGGTGTCGATCCCATTTGAAATGACGTCACAGTGACGTCATAAGTGAAATTATAGATTTGCGACTCTCATATTCCTCACGATACATCAGATATATGGGACCGAATATAAAGGGCCGATTATTGGTCAGAAACTAGATGGAAGTGTAGTTAGATGTTTTAGGATGACAGCAGGTGCTGTCTAGTTCATTTACAGTTGAGTATCATGCTCAGCGTCATCAGAAACGGCCCATATCGGAAAACGACAAAACTTTATGACGTCACTGTGACGTCATCTTAGGTGCTACAACCACAAAACTTTCCTCAAACATTGCCTAGGTATTCATTTGAAGCTATGCCAAGTTTCACGTTCGTAGCTCATCAGGTTTCGGAGATATTTCACAAAACGTAAAGGGGGGGCAACTTTATGCCCCCCCCCCCAGCGGCTCGTGGGCTAATGGGGATTTACTTACGTTACTATAGCTTATTATTATAGCTTATATTAATATTATATTATTATAGCCATGTTATTATAGCTTATATTAACATGGCGAGGTAGCGGACACCGGTAGCCGAGAAAGGTTAATGTTATATTATGTTACGCTATGTTCAATGTTATGTTAAAAAAGGTAAAAAAGGTTAGGCAGGACTTCAATCCCACCTCTTAAGATATTGGCTGGTCGGCGGAATTTAGTTGGTGGTCTTCGAACAGGACAGCAGTCCCATTCTCAGCGTTCAGCAAATTGCGCCGAACACGTTGCCGCAGAGCAAGCTGACAAAGCCAGCACACCAGTCCGACTCAGAGAGCTACACCACGCGGACAACGTTCCGGTCCCGACCGATTCTCCTGCAAGAGTGCGCCGCCGCCGCGGCACCGTCCTCACATCGACCGCCAGTCACGTGATCCACGGGTCGCCAATCAGCGAACGCGCCGCGCGGTGCGGCCAAGCGCCCGCCGGGTAGACTGCGCCGCAGTGCTGCTCGCTGCAGGAGCGGCGGCCAGCCCGACGGCCCGGCTGCCGTAGAACGGTAACAAATAGTCACATGATTGTCATATAACCATTACCATTGAGCTGGAAATGAACAAATGGCCATAAAACACGCAACTCAAGGCTCTAGTAGAATTGGGTTTATGTGCTGACCATTGGTGACCTGACCTGTGACCTAGCCTGGTATTATCAGTGCCCTGTAATAGCAGCATATGTACTAGGCAGCTGACGCAATATGGCTGATTTTCGATAAAATGTGTTTAACTCGATATTAGAGCGCTTTCCCGAAAAGACCCGTGAACGGCAAAACATTCTAATTTGACCTGATCTGTGACGTCATCAGTGACCCCGAGGTCAATGAAATTGGATTTCCCGCGACAAGCTTGACAGTGCTTTCGAACACCGTTTGACTTGCAGATCCGTTCAGAAGTTTGCAAGATACGAGGGGGGACAAAAAATAGTCCCTTTACACTTGTTGTGATGTCAATTACGGAAAAACTCGATACTGATACCAAACCAAATGCCAACAATAACCACGGAAGAATTCCAAAATCGAAACTTCGTTAACTTTTGGTAATATTACCAAGTTGGTTAATACTAACTTTTTACCATATTCACAGCCTCTTATACATGAGGGATAATTCACAAAACCAACAAAATACCAAATGCTAAGGAAAGGTACGCCTTTAAATACCCTAGACCAGGTTGGTATCGGTTTGGGATCGCTATTCCAAAAACATGGCATCTGATTAACAACACACAACACACAACACACTTGGTTGCATTTAGGTAACGGTTAGGTTAGGTTAGGTTAGGTTAGGTTAGGTTAGGTTAGGTTAGGTTAGGTTAGGTTAGGTTAGGTTAGGTTAGGTTAGGTTAGGTTAGGTTAGGTTAGGTTAGGTTAGGTTAGGTTAGGTTAGGTTAGGTTAGGTTAGGTTAGGTTAGGT